CAAGCCATCCAACCCGGGGCCCCTGCCTTGTATGAGGAACCCCCTCCTCGTGTCGCGTCTGGTGGAACCTCTTTGCGTAGTTCGAGCTGTACCAGGAGTGGTTGCGCCCCACTTCAGCGTTTTCCCTGCGACCGCAGTGTAGTTCTCCCGCGGCTCCGCAAAATCATCCACAGCGAAGCGATCTGCCCAGCTTGCGATTGCCTGTTGCGCCCTGGGCCAGCTGAACTCGGCACTCTCGCAGTGGTCACCTCTTGCCCCAATGGAAGGCCCTGAAGGCTGTGAGTCTCAGACAGAGAGAGTGACAGGTGATTGCAATGTAGTTCCCACGTCAAGAGGACAGCATGGGGACAAAGGTCAAAAAGCAGCAAGATATGGGGCAGTGGGGTAGTATACGTGATCATCAAACAGCCAAGCAGGCAAGTCAGCTTCATGTTGGCACCCGATTAGTAATGGGATAGTCAATAATGCAAAGTTGTTTCCCTTATTGTGGTTCACCCCCATTGTTGATGGGGACCAGAATAACTGAAAGTTCTTTTGCCCCGGGGGGGGGGATCCTAAAACCAAAAAATATCCACAAATTGTTGATGGTGGCCCACTTGCTGAAAAGCATTCCCCTTTTAATTGGTTGCTCAAACACAAAACCCAAAGCCAGCTGAAACCTCTGAAATTTGAAAAACATCCCCAGCCCTGAAACTGCAAATTCTTTATTAACACGTGTTCAAAAATGAACAACAAATCAGGACAAGGGTACCCCTCACAGACCCCACTGAACCACAACAATGGCAACCTTTAGGGGGACCACATTAGTTGCAAGCCCCCAGCCCCCTCCAGAAAATAAACTGTCGGTTGCTTTTCTCAAAAGCATTCCCCTTTTAATTGGTGGCCCAGTTACTTAAACGCATTCCCCCAATTGGTGGCCCACTTGCTTAAAAGCATTCCCCTTTCAATTGGTTTCTTTATACTAAAGTAGTGTTCCAAAAAGTCTGCTCGGGAAGAAGTGGTTGCAATACTAAAGTAGAATTCTAAAAAGGAAGTGGCTGCAATACTAAAGTAGAATTGGGCCCCAAAATCCTCCATTGTTTGGAAGTCCCAAAAGTGAGCCTACAGAATTCTAGCGCGTCCATTGTCCCCTTTATTAATCAAGTTCCAACATTACTGCACCTCAGTGTCAAGCACGCATCTTCGCCGCTTCGTCGCTTCGCTTCCCCACATCGGGGACTGCCAAACAAGCGCAGTTCATGCTCCTCGCCGCCCTGTTTGGGCTCTGACCGGCTTCGTCCCTGCCGAAGAAATGTGCGTGAGAGTATAACATTGTGCACGGGTCTGGGCAAATTGAAAACAATTCACCAAGCTGAAAGAAGGCTTCCCTAAGAAATATACCTTTGTCATGGATAAGCAGCCAACATGTGAGGCCGCTACAATTTGCCAAAATTCTGTGAAGCTGACGCCGGCAAAATGCCCAAGCGTCTGTTTGTCGGTCTGATTTCGCCCGCGACACAAAGAAAGCGTAGTGGTCATCCCCGGAACCGCTCCAAAAGCCTCCCCAAGACATCCCCAACCAATAGATACTTTTTGGCTTCAATCGGCCTTACTTTTCACCTTGCTGGGTCGCTTCTCGGAAAATAATCTAAAAATTGAAAAGTATGGTGCTGCCAGAGGACCCTGACCGCAATCAAAACACATGTCCAAGTCCAAGAAAAAGCTTCGAATACTTCACTGAACAAAAGTTCAGTAGGCATGCTTCACTGGGTTGCTCCCTCCACGAGCAAAAAGGTCTATGCCAAAAGCTCCAAGTTGATCCGGTGAGCTCGCCATGTGGCAGGAGGCCGGTGCCAAGAGGTGGACATAACCCCTTCTGACAAAATCGGCACATGGGCCCATTGCCTCGTTTCAATTCCCAAGCTCCATCTCCCGTGCCTTGGGGCTCGCGAAACTCCCCACCTAGCTCGCGAGCTCGCGAGCCGACGGGCTTGCTTGAAGTGCAATGGGGCTGATTTGGCACGGAGGGATCCTGAGTCTGGTGCCAGGTTCCCTTGGCTCGAAATGTGCATGGATGTTGCGCCCTTTGCTTTTTGAGGTCGCTTCTGAGCCGACGGTTGTTGACCTTCAATGCTCATGGTCGAACTCAAACTTGGAGTTTCTGTTGCGCATCTCTGAACCTCTCATCGGTGTTTCTCACCTGGTGGACCATGCCAAAAGTGTTTTTCTCACTCTACAGTATATAGTTTATAGGGAGAAACACCTTGGAGTCACAGAACGTGTGCCAAAGCCAGCTCATGTTCTTCAACAACAATTGCTTGGGGATTCTGCTTCACTGGCGAGCCAATCCCGACAAAAGGCAGCGGTAAGCAGGACGGGACTCATTCAACTCGGCAGATGGTTGCTTCCACCGATGCCCTTTGAGTAGTTCTTCCAAAAATGAAACCTCAGGTGACTCAGGGGCCCCACCCGGTGAAATGTCGAAGAGTTGTGTTGCTCCCCTCATTTCTGATCCAGTTGAAAATCCAGGCTTTGAGGTATTGCAAACAGCTGACACTTGGACTGAAGACTCCTCGAACCGCCGCTTACAGATTCCTCACGGTTTGCGCGAGTTGCGAGGGTCGTTCAATGCTTATGGTGAGGGCTTGACCACTCAGCACCCAAAACCACGAGGCCCTTCCCCCTTTTGCAGTTGAACAGGGTCCGCACATGTCCTCACTGTCAAGAGCCTTTCAACCAAACAGGGCATCAGGCCAACAGGGTTCTGATAGGTTCCGCGAAGGAACCGCGCATCGTTGAACTGCCTTTCAAGAGACACGTGCGAAGGCAAAGCAAGCTTGCCTTTTCCTGTTCAATTTGCTCGAAGGTGGTCCCACCACCATCTCAAGAAGGAAAGATAGGAAGTTCAAGAACGGCCGCCAATAGTCCTTCCTAGTCACACTGCTATTGTATTTGGCTATGGCTCCTTGTGGCTAATTTTTCAGGTTCTTCAGAGTGTCTTTGGGTGGGAGTCAACCCATCTTTTGGCTTCCTTTGGCAAAAGCCACAAAAACATAGCATCACCCTGTTGTTTGTCCCCCCCCAAAACAAACAGAAAGACTCGGCCCACCCGCTTCCGCTTGAGGCTTGCCCGGGCCCCTGGCGCGCGATGTTGGCCGCCGCGCGCTCCAACTCCACCAGCTGCCGCGACGCCTCGCCGTCGTCCGTGTCCCGCTCCCGCAGCACCCGGGCGCAGCGCACCGCCTGGGCCGTGGGCCGAAGACATCTCTGGGCCATGGGCGGCGCTTTCGAGGCCACAAACGTCCGGCTCTTCCTTCGAGCGCTGGCAGCCTAGGAGTGAGCCTGAGGGTAAATTATCGATTTGCCCCAGCGGCCACAGGACAAGTCCGTCATTAAGTGAACGGGAAGGGACGAGTGTCACTGAACTAGGATCACACCGACGGTCCAATTCATCCCTTTGGGTTGTTCCTTGCCATGGAGAAAGGACGCCCCTTTTTGGTTTCCAAGGGAGCCGTCAAGCCAAAATAACAAAACAAAGGTTGCCACTGGATAATTGGGTCCCCTCTCAACAGGGTCAACCCCGGGTTTTATTGAGAGTCTCCTCGGTGGCATCCCTGTCAGCCCACGTGATTTCTCGATTCGCTCGGCTCCGCGGTCCGCGGTCCGCGGTCCGCAGACCCGAGCACCGCGCCTCCTGCTCTGCCGCTGTGGCTGCCATGGCTTCGGCCTGCTTCCTGGGCGGTTTTGATGCGTATCTCATTGACACCCACTTGGTTGCTGCAACGACCCCCCTGCAAAAAGTGCTCAACTTTTTGGGGTTAGTACGGAAAACCCAACTTGATTTCAACCAAAAGTTAAAGTCTAAAGATCCAACCCAATAGCAGTCAAGCCCAGTTGCCCAGTGACCTTTATAGACAAAAATGGCTGTGGCTCAAAAAGCCGGTACCAAAACGGAACCCTGGTAAGTGGAAACATGGACCACAGCCTGCGTAACCCCTCCTGTTCAATTTTGAGCCCCACCCAAACTGGACCGACCCACTACATACGGGACTAGGTATTGGACTCGAAAAATGCGCATTTGTTCAGTCTTGGTCTGACGCTAATTGCGCAGAGGAATGTCGTTTGTGCAATTTCCGAACTCCCAAATAATCAAACTCGCCCACTGCAGAGGTTTGCAATCAAATTGAGACACTCCAGCACTTCATTTTGACCTTTGTGGCATGATTTCCTGGCAGGCTCAGGCTCGTGATTGAAGTTAGGACCTATCATGTACTTGTATCTGAATACCTTTGCAAATATATATATATATATATATATATATATATATATATATATATTCATGTTGCATATCTATCTATCTATCTATCTATCTATCTATCTATCTATCTATCTATCTATCTATCATTGCATGTGTATAAATATATACACTAATCAAACCAACGGTTCATCGCTTGCATCAAACAAATGCGACCTAACGTTTACAGAACATCTATTCTAAATTCGGACCCTGTTCCATTAGCGGGAGGGTTCCCTCAGGCTCTCGGGAGGGTTCCCTCAGGCTCGTTGACGATAGGCTTGCGGCTTTTGCATTTGTTTGCTGAGAGTATATCGGAAGCCTTCTGCACTCCTCTTAAACAGTGAAGCAAGTTGAGCAAGTATTAGTTTGTCTTGTCCTCAGAATTAGACTCAATCAGGGTCTCCCGTTTATGCGCACATTGAGGCAAACTCAGCGGGGACAGTGCAACTCATTCAGAAACAACTTCCAGCGTTTTGGTTGCACGAGCTCCAACCAAGTTTGAGCCCAAGTTTATTAAGTCAAACTGGCCGGCCCCCCAACCAACAAAAAAACTTGCAAACTCTCAGCCTAGTCTCCACAGCTCTTCCAGCCGCGGTGGCGGTTGCGGCGGCTGCGGTGGCTGCGGCGGTTGCGGCGGTTGCGGCGGTTGCGGCAGCGGTTGTGGTGGCTTCGGTGGCGAAGCCACCGGCGCTTGCGTCGCTGGAGGCTCGCAGGGATCCTCCATGAGAAGGTAGGGGTCCTGCAAAAAGGTGACAGTCGCGCTGTCAAAAGGGGGGTGGATTTCCTTTTGGGCCTCATGGTATGAAACGGAGCTTGACCCTTCTGCGGGCTTTTGTGTGTCTTGAAACCGTTCACAACAAAGGCACCTCTCGCTTCAAAACATGTTGAAATCCGATTCAGGGGTGGATTTCCCAGTATGAGTACCGACAACACCACCACCACCACCACCACCACCACCACCACCACCACCACCACCACCACCACCACCACCACCACCACCACCACCACCACCACCACCACCACCACAAACTACCATGACTACCCAAAACCGATACTTGCAACCCGACGGGACCAATCCAAAACAAATATCCTGCTAGTACTGTCCGTTGCCGATGTAACATTTGGGAGAAGCAAGAGGGCGAGGAGATTCTTGTGTGCAAACCTCCATTGATAGACATGGCGCGCAACTGCCCATTGCAGGACTAGGGTCCTAAAAGAAAATGCACTAGGGTTGTACGTGGGAGGCTAACACTTTCGTCCCCGGGGCGGGGGGGATTACGTCATCTTTCAGGCCGACATGGCCCAGAAGCCACCTTTTCAGGACGTGGACGGTTTCGGGCCCCTTGCTGAGACACTGAGCCTCTGTCGTTTTGCGGGGTCGGGCTGGTCCATTGGGTTCCCACCTCTCACATTGGAGACTTTTCCAGGACAGCCCAGAGTTCCTCGCTCAAGACATAGGCAAGACTCAATCTCAGCGGAATGCTGCTGAAAATCAAGCGGTGACCGCTAGCAAACCCGCTCCTCCGTCACCATGCCAGCCTCGCTGTCGCTGCCGCCTGGGTAATGTGGGGCACTCAACAGGCTTTGGAACTGTGGATCCAGGAAACAAAGGCTTTTAAAAGTTCTAAAGTTCTATCTCAGCACGGAGAACTTCGACATCCAATCCGTTTTCGGAATCAATGGTAGGGGCGTGCCAAATTACATACTCCTGGCTTGGGCACAAAACATGGCTTTTGTTCAAACAGCCTCCTTCTGGTTGCCCTTTCATATAAGGGACCGTTGCAGGTTGTTTCGGGAAATCTTAAACGTGCATGTCCGGGCCACACCTTTGACCTCTTCGCGTTTTCAGAGGGCCCACTCCTGCCGTTTTACCCTCAGATCTCTGGAAGTGACAACTGAGACACTTCGAATACACCCTTCCAGGCTCCAGACACAGCTCACAATCTCTGAGACAGCCCCCATGCACAAGCGCAATTCACCTGTGTGTTGGGTATGGAGCTAGGAAAACATAAATATGCATCCCTGAACGGCTGCGTTCAGGGGAAATGAACAGCTATGGCTCAGTGGCCCCCCCCCAAAGGCGCAAATAAGCCCAGCCGCTGAAACTCGCTGCTTGCGCACCAATTGAGTTGCAGAAGCTGAGCCCTAGCCCATGATTTGAAGGAAGCCAACATGAAACCCATATTTGTTCCCCCTAAAGATCAAGGTCCTAATAAAACATGTTCCAAACCCCCGAAGGCCCCAAGACTAAAAGCATTGAGCAGCCTAATTTGAAAGCGATGCACGCAAAATTTATCCCACTCTCTTCAAGTCTTGGGGGGCCCTTTGTGGAAACAAAATGGCTCACACAAAAAAAAGCCTTCACCTCAAACCAAATGCCTCCCTTCACTTTCGGATGGACATGACCTCCCCGCAGGGAACGCATGAGTTAGGCACCCCAAACCTGGAACTGGGGAGGCGCGCTGTATTAGGGGGTATATCACCTGGAAGGCCCTACTTTGACACATTCTGAGTTGCATTGGTTTTGCAGCGTTGCCCGACATGAGAAGACCAGCCTTGTACACCCGAATCTCAAGTCAAAGTTTTGCCTTTCTTTGGAACCTGCTTATATGTCGCAATTTCCGTGTGCCTAGTTGACACTGCCGTCAATGTGGGTGGGTGGCTGAGTGGCTGATACAACGTGAGATCCTGCAAGAAGCGTACTGAAACAGAAACATGATATCCATTCACGGGCTTGACTGCCCGTGTTCACCTCCAAGATAGATGGTTTTGGGAGTGCGGGTTGCCAAAACTGACTTCTTTCCACCAGAGCCTGGTCAGCCCAAAAACCGATTGATGAGCTGAGGCAGGAATGGGCCGTCGCCTCCGCTTTTAATACGGCAACAAACAGAAACACATCCATTGTTGACACAATAAAATAAACAATTTCAGGTTCGGGTTTGCAAACGGGTGGTTTTGGAACCAAACTGGTGAGTCACCAACTGAGAGCCGCAGAACAGTCCGTGGCTGCACAAAGAGAATGGCCCTCAGGCCCCAGCTAGTGCTCGGGCTGCGCCCGCGCTTGCTCGCCTGGTTGTGCTTTTTTTTTGCTCAACAAGTACGTGGTACAGCGCCTCTAATTTTCGTGCGCGAACGCAGGGAACGGATCAACCTGGACGCAATGAGTTTTTGACCTTTTGCCTTGCACTTATCGGGGTAATGTCCACCTCTGATTAATAAATAGG